ATATAATAACCCAATGTGCTCGCAACCTCAAATATTCATATTTTTGCAATTTTGTTTATTGTGGCTTTAAGTTTGATAAGAACACAAACCCCAAATCCAACGTATAACATATCAACTTAAAGCTATTTTACAATAATGTATTGTAGTAGCTATTGATATTATAATCGTTCAATGAAATTAACACACACAGCTTCACAATTTCATTTACCAAAAAATCGATATAAAAGTTTTGTTTTAGACACACCAATTGCAAGGAAATGATTTCTTCCCTATAGAGAGCCTTAAAATATCTATTTCGAGTTATCTTATATGTGTGTAATGTTATGGAAAACTGAGCTAGGGTTCGATCAGCTTTTGTGTCACTAAGCATTATTTGATTATATACGTCAGACTACACCAGCGATATTCCCCACAGACTGATGTACTTAACGACTTTGAATTTCATCTCGACCTGTTATTTTATCGAGAAAAGTATTGTTTAAGAATTATATACATGTATAGTTGCAGTATCCCTTTGTTTGTTTGTTTTTTTTTTATTTATTAAAAAACTTTTATATAAAAGATGTATCTTGATGTGTCCTTCAAGTCGACATTTAGATATTATATCGACGAACTTTACCAATTAACAATGTTTATTTTTATTCGATATATCCCATTGAACTTGAAAAATAAATACCACAGAATCTGACACATCTGTTTCACATTTGGATGTTTTACTAGAGAAAGACATTAATGGCAATTCAACAACTAAACTTAATGCAAAACATGTTTCTATCATCAACTTCCCTTATTTAAAGTGGATAAACCATAATCCTTTTAACCCCATATTAATTTACTCTTTATTATAAAATTATATCTTACACTGTATGTGCATCCCTCAAATTTATTTTAAAAAAATACCCCTACAGAAAAAGGACAATCTTTTAACATTCTTTTTAAACTTTTGAAATTGTTAACTTTAAAAGAGGTTCATTATACCCCTCTGTTTATTTGCTACTTTTCTTCTCTGCCGGGTTCAAAAATTCGGACAGTTTTAAAATATGGGGAAATAAAACTGCCTATCATTAACTCTAATTGACTATATGTGGTTTATAATACATGCACTGGCTCTGATTACCAGCAAATGAAGGTTAAGGACATTGACAGGGTTCCTGGCTTTTATATAGAATTTTTCAAGACACTTGATTAGGTGTTATGGTACTAAACATATTATACTCTGGTACATTTAACCCACTAAACCACTCTTCCTTTTTAGATTTTGACAAATCAATTTCTTTTTTTTTTTTTTTTTTTTTTTTTTTTTTTTTTTTACAATTCTCAATACATTTCCTATGTAAAATGTTGATAAAAAGGAATATTACATATATTTTCATCATACGATTTCTTCAAAACCCATTTATTTCATAAAGTTTATGTATTATATTAATATTGTATCCTCATTCCCTATGGGATCTAGATATTTTGGCTGAAAATGCAAACATAGAAACGTCGCCCGCGTGGCGCAGTGGCTAGAGCGTCTGCTCTAGAGTCGCAAAGTAAAGAGTTGATCCTTACGTCGCGGGTTCGAATCCCACTGTGGGACGTGGAGACCGGTCCTTCGGATGAGACCGTATAAACCGAGGTCCCGTGTCGCAGTAGGTGCTGGCACGAAAAAGATCCCTCACTGCTCAATGGCCGTAAGTGCCGAGTATAGGACAAAATTTACAGCTCTCCACCGGCAATTGGTGGCGTCTCCATATGAGTGAAAAATTCTCGAGAGGGACGTTAAACAACAAACAAACAAACAAACAAACATAGAAACAAGACACGGATATGCCAACAACATTCTTTATTTTTGAGTTACTTCCCTGAGAATTTTTTATTTTTAATAATGGTAGAGAGACTGATTGACTGTTTCTAAAATGTAATTTACTTTATTGGAAACACATTTGTTATAAAAGTATTGGCATGGATTTGTTTTAAATTTTTGTTCGTATTTTCTAAATGCCGCCTCCTTCACAGGACCATGATTGCTTAGAAACCGTTTTCAGCATTTGTCACATCTTTACCCTTCCCACCATAGCTACGATAAATAACGATCTGTTGACTGTCTGTCCTTCAATGTCCAACAAAGCCACCGCTGCTTTTCTTTCTTACTGTACAGATGATTCTACCTGTGGAAGGAAGCACACGAGCTTTTGTTTATCTCCGTAATAAACGCTTTATTGGTTTTCACTTTGTAGAGAATTCTACACTGGGGATCACTCTCAATCATAGTTTTGTAAGTAAAAAAAAACACAAATTAAACCCTTTTTTTTCTCTGGATAATTGTGACTTGCCAATGTCCTTAAGATGTCTTTTTAAACTTTATTTTCTGTTACAAACTTGTAATACAGACTCCAGTCCATGACTCCACTCCACTCAGCAATTTACCCTAAGCCGGTTAATATTATCTCCCAAAATAGAGGAATTTCTCTCTGCCATTCTAGGAGCTCAACCTTGCCCCGTTGACTTGGTTACATATGTCAGTTGTACAATGTGTCTCCACAACAACGTTATAGTGTAATTGAAATTCTGTTTTTATTACATTGTAATTATGTAGTTCTCTCTCAATTAAAATGGTTAAATAGTCCCATCTGTATAATTCTATCCATAATTTTAAAATGAAGAGGTCATTTAGCCAGGAGTAAGTTTATTTATTTAAAAGAGCCATAATATGGTAAAGACGACCAATTAATATTTTGTATCGTGATGGGGTGTCCGTCCGTCTATCTGTACGTCCGTCCATTTTGGGGTACACATCTATTATCCGAACTTTTTTATATCACTGAATAAAATTTTAATGAGACTTTTCATAGAACTTCATAGAATCTTTGTTACATAGTGCCATTGTTCACCTCCTATTTTACTTTTTTGATCGGACACATTTTTCGGGTTTCCAATAGCAAAACATATACAATGCCATTTTTTCTATAATATTTAGGGGTACCCATCTCTTATCCGCAACTCCTCCTATACCACTGCATAAAATTCAATGAGACTTTCATAGAATCTTTGTTACATAGTGCCATTGTGTATCTCCTATTTTACTTTTTTGATCGAACACATATTTCGGGTTTCCCATAGAAAAACATAGACAATGCCATTTTTTTCTATAAGATTTAGGGGTATCCATCTCTTATCCGCAACTACTCCTATACCACTGAATAAAATTCAATGAGAATTTCACAGAATCTTCTTGACATAGTGCCATTGTGCATCTCCTATTTTGCTTTTTAATCGCACATTTATATCCGGACTCCCATAGCAAAACATGGACTTCGCCATTATAAACATATGGGAGGCTGGGGTATCATTTTGCGAGCTCATGGCTCACAGTGTACGTACCTCTATTTTTTCTACTCCGTCTGTTAGAAAGAAAAAGAATACGTTTTTGGCCTAGAATCTCAAAAATCTACTTTGACAGAATAGGTGATAAATATGTAAAAATAATGTATTAAGGTAAATTATTTTTAGTATATATACAAATCCCATTGATACATTATGTAGATAAATATTCATTGCCGATCTTCCCTACTTATTTCCATTATGAGAATTTTAAATTTTTTTTTTAAATTATAAACCCAGATTTTGAGTAACTGTTTGAAAATAATTCTAGAATAAGGAAAAATAAAAATAGAAGCAAGCTTAATTGCATTTCCGGCTTTCACTGGAAAAGCAATTGAATTTCATCTTTCTTTACAAGATTAGAAAGTTATAAAGGGCTATTGAATATATAAATATCAGCACAATATCACCCTGTTCCTGTCCGCTGTTTACAGTTTGCAGATGTAGGAAACCAGTACCAACACTGAGACTCAGAAAGATGAACTAAGTTATTGGACTGCCCCTCCCCCCTTTTTCGATTATTTTTTCTAGTAGGTATTAGATCAGTGGTGTACTTTGTTTGAACATTTTGATTTCTTCTTCTCAAACTCATGGATCCTGCATAGACCTATGCCATCCTTTTCAATTCAGTGATTTAATTGTCATTTAATCAAATATAACAGAATTTATTGGATGGAGGTTTACAACATGATACAACTATTCATCACAAACTTGACATCACTGCTTTTTTAACTAAGTGTACAAAATTCTTGTTTACTAAGCAGTATTTAAAAATCCTCCCGGACAAAGACACCGGATATCAGATTTCGTGCAGAAGTGAAATAAGAATCATTAATAATGTCGTTTCTGTCACGATGTTGAATTAAGAGTTCTTTCTTGGAGTATTTATACACAACTTTAAAAATTACAAAATAACACCAAAAAAGGGATGGATTTCTAGACATAAAATTTGACTGATTAATACTTGGTGCTTGCACACTCTCTTTTGATTTATGAGCTCAGTGAACTGAAATCATGTTACTTTTTTCCAAATTATTTCTTTAATCCGTTTTTATTTAAATAATTAATATTAAGAGTCACACCAATTAACTCATAAATGATTCCAGAATTATGATTAGTCATATTCGGAAATGTATAGCCGTAAATTTTTAATATATAGTTGGTGCATTTTTGTAATGCTCTTTGTTGTATTACGCCTCTGATCTTTATCACACTGATCAAGAAAGAAATGCCCGAGAGTGGGTGTTTTCATGGTTCGGTTACCAAGGAAAATTCATTCGTGATTTTTCGTAACATTTTAACAATCGATGTTTATTTACGACGTTTTAGATTAAGCTGACTTTAACCTACATTAAAAAATATTGAAAGAAGGTGTCGTGTAAGATGTGTGATCTATTCGTTCAATGGAATTATAAGGAAATAAGCAGTCATTCTTTCAAGGGAGTTTAGCTGTCATCTTTAAACATATATCAGATATTTCTGGATTCACTGTGATCCCTTTCCACTCAATTTAAGAGGATGAAGTATTTTGCGACATAGTTAAGTGCCTTCCGTCCTTTAAATTTTGGTTTCCGGTTTAATCACATGTGGTAACTGTTTTGATAAAAGTTTTCATTTGTTATGACTTCTTTCAGATATGATAAGGATGAACCAGACGCTGGAACCTTCTTTCGAAGAAGAACTATTTAACAATTCAGGAAAAAATCTCAGTGGCACATGTAGAAGTATTATTGACAGTGAGGATTTATTCCATAAGATTAACACGAAATCTGTGGAAACCATCTTTACTCCCACAATTGTATATGTCTTTCTACTGTTAATTTTAGGTATACCGGGAAATGTGTTAGTAGTTTACGTGTACCACTCATGGCGTCGATCCCCCTCTCGTCTCGTCATTATTGCACTGGCCATTTTCGATCTTGTGAACTGTTTATTCACCATTCCAACGGAGATATACTTTATTGTCAATCTTATTGGGAATCCTAGTCCAATATTATGCAAATTGTCTCGTTTTATCACCTTTTCTATGAACAATGCATCATCATTTGTGCTTCTTTTCATTGCCATCGACAGATTCAAAAGGATTTATAAACCCCTAAAACCACCATACAGTAACAGAGTTACCAAAATTGTGATCAGTATTGGGTTTGTGATAGCATTCCTGTTCTCATGGCCGTCTCTTCTCATTTACGGGTCTCAAACAATAACCATTCCACTTCCTTCGTCAAACGGTGTTTGTTTAAGAGGACTAACCTGTCTCATTGACGATGACGTATTATCTACCATGTATCCACTGCTCTTTAATATTATACTGACTGTTGGAACATGCATTATAGATCTCATAATGATATGTGTGTATGTGTACATCGGAAGCAGGTCAATTAAGGCCATACGAGAAACGAACCAGTTTTTCCCCAAATTTGCCATGGCGACAAATGACAGTGTGGACTTTTCTGCCGAGTATTCCCATGAAGTTCATGACCCTATTCTAATTAATGGAGAGAAAGACACACGATACGATAGGAAACACTCCGCAATGAACGGTTCGCTTTCTATCAAATCAAAATATGATTCCTTGGACAGAAAAGGTTCGACTGTCACTATTGCTTCGACCAAAAAGGTACATTCCTCTAAGCCGTCATTTGCCAAAGCGGACAGAAGAGGACGAAGACAGATGCTAAAATCGACATTTATGTTGTTTCTGGTGACCGTCTTGTTCATCGCCTCCTTCATACCATACTGTACCATTGTCTTCATACGCTATACAAATAGCGACCACTACACAAACCTCTCAAACACAGGAAAGGCAGTGTACAATGTGTTTTTACGTTCTTATATGCTCAGCAGTGCGCTTAACCCGGTCATCTATAGTTTCCTAAGCAGCAAGTTCAGAAAGCAATGTAAAAGGATTGCTCACAAAATATTTTGTTTTGGTCGATATGTATGAAAAAAAAGAATTTTATATGAACATGTATATTTACTCTCAGTCAATTTGATTTAATACTGCCATCTTATTACTACTTGTTTTTTGAAGTAAAATTATATCAATATATTATATTTTTTTTCTTGTAAAATGAAGGAATTTTGTGTACTAACTCTCCTTGTTGTATGCGCCATTCAATAACTGTACTTTAAATATCTACGATTGTTCTAAAGTTTTGGTCCGTGAATTGAAAAAGAACATGGATAACGAAAGTACAGATTTGTCACCCCATTTCACAATTTATAAAACAAGAAATATATATATACACACACGCGCAAACTATGCCTTCCAATTCATGGCGATGATAAAATAGAATATGGCCGAAATCTGAACCATGAGACTAAATATCTTTTTCTGTTGCTTTTGAGAAAGAACATAATGCAGTTATTGCTGACAACAACAATAATTACAGTGAAAATTAAGTTGGAATCAGTGACATTTATTTTATCACAAGATTCTGATCGGGGTATAATCAGGGTTGATTTAATTCGGTCCAATAAATGCTGTAAATTCAATACAGAAAATATTTGACGAAAACTTCGTGTGGATTATCTCATGATCACATTTTGACCTTATCAATTTAATAGCAGTCTCTTTTTTTCCATCGACGAGTGCGGATATTTTTTTTAAATCTAGGGGTCTTGTCTTCAGTTTTTAATTTGATATCACAAAGCTTTTTAAAACTGTATTCTAAATAAGACTTGAATTTTGAACAGATATATTCCTTTTTCGTACAACTTCAGCAACCAGCCTATTATGGCATGTCAAACGTTGCAATATTCGATTTTTTCCATTTGTATTGTATGATTGTCCATTTGTATTGTGTAATTTTCCATTTGTATTGTATAATTGTTATTTATTTTCTATAATTTTCCATTTTTATTGTATAATTTTTATGTGGATTGTATAATTTTTCATTTGTATTTTATATTTTCAAATGTATTGTATCTGAGGGATTGTTTATTTATTTTTTTTTTCGTTACAAAGGATTTCATTGGTCTCGTTATAGTCTTTTTGTAGTATATAGTGTTCAAACAAGTTTCGGGTTTGTTACCACCCTCATTTTGAACACGATACAGGCTAAATCTTGACCATTGACATCCTTCGTAACAAAATAGATAAACAATCCAATGAAAATTATCGAATACAAATAAGAAATTCTACAATATAAATAAGAAATGGAAAATATAGAATGCAAATGAAAAATTATACAATTCAAATGAAAATTTATAGAATACAAATGTAAAATTATAGAATACAAATAAAAATTATACAATACAAATAAAAATTGTACAATACAAATGGAAAATTATAGAATACAAATAAAAATTATACAATACAAATGAAAATTCCTACAATGCAAATAGGAAAGATCGAATATTGCAACGTTTGACTTGCCATAGACTATCAATTGCATAATAGAAAATAATAAAAATAACAAATTGACAAAATTTTACATTCATAAAAGCATGCAAGTAATTTCCTGCTGAACATAACCTCGAGTAAGTATAATCCTGGAAAATACGTCTGGTCTTTTCATTTGCAATTGGTGCGAAACAAATGCATAAATTAACTAAATTTAACAGATATGATAAATGAATAATTGTTTACTTTCTGTGAGAAGAACTACCAAAGAAATGAATCAATGAAAGTAGATAAAAAGAGACGATAGAAAAGTGGCTTATGTTTGTGATCGTTTAAAGTAAATACTTTATACAAGCATTACATAATCTCTATTCTCAAGTATTAAATGGGGGCGGATTTCGAAAAGGTTTTTTTTTTTTTTTAAAGAGAGGGCCTATTGAATATCAAGAGCTTTAGTGCCTTGTTAAGGTAAAAGGGGTTGACCTACTGATATAGACGTCATGACATCTGATATGGTATATTTGTATGCATGACGATAGAATAGAATATCAATCATGTCTCTCAAAATTTATCAGATTTTCTAAGAAAAAAAAAATAGAAACAAGATGTGTTTGTGAAACACTGATACCCCCGTATGGCAATTTATAGCGTAGGTTAAACTTTCTCAAATACAAATCAAATATTCTGGTACCCAACGTAAGGTCTTGTCTCAAGGAATATATCCGTGAAATATGAAAGCCCTAACACCAACCGTTCAAAATTTATGGCCAAGGTTAAAGTTTTTCAAAAGTAGGTCAAACTCCAAGGTCAAATGGTTAATTTTGTCTTGTCACTAGGATTACATCTGTGAAGTATGAAAGCCTTAGCACGAACTGTTCAAAATTAATGGCCAAAGTTAAAGTTTTCCAAACGTAGGTCACACTCCAAGGTCAAGGAGCTATAACTCCAAGGTCAAGTTGAAAAGGTCAAACTTGTTGAAATCAAAAGAAAGGACTTGTCACAAAAATTACACATGTGAAATATGAAAGCCCTTACACCAACCGTTCAGAAGTTATGGCCAAGGTTAAAGTTTTTCAAAAGTAGGTCAAACTCCTTGGTCAAGGTCAAAGGGTCAAAGTTGTTGGTATCCAAAGGATGGTCTTTTTACAAGGATTACATATGTGAAGTACATGGCCAAGGTAAAAGTTAGGTTTTTTTTTAAAAAAAAAAAAAGGGGTCAAACTCCAAGGTCAAGAGGTCGAATACGTTGGTACTTAAAGGAAGGTCTTCTCATAAGGAATACAAAATTTTAATGTAAAATATGAAAGCCATAGGTCCAACCAATCAAAAGTTATGGGCAATGTTAAAGTTTTTGCAGACAGACAGACGGACAGGGCAAACTATAAACCCCGGAATCTTCGATTACGGGGGCATAAAAAAGAAAAAAAACTGGATAGCAAACGTTCACAATTACTTTTTTAAGGCTTTTATTCAATGACTCGCTTATAATTTCCTTTGGTTGCATCCATTTCTATTTTCAGTATCAGTAATATTGTCTCATATATTATTTCTAATTTCGCATCCTTTTCAGTGAATTTAAATTTTATTGATCAGACATAAAGTGTTTTACTGAAGAGTACACTTACATAAGTCCCATTTCTCAGCTCTTGTGACTGGAGTTGTGCTACATAGCATTGATTCGGATAGCGACAAGGTTCCAGTGATCCTTCGCAACGGTAAAGTCAATAGAGATCTACCACCAGAAATATTGCCGGGCAGACTTTGTAGAGAGAGACAAAAATTTCGTTATAGACATATCAGACCTCATGTCTTGGGAGTGTTTCAGGGATGTAACCATGTCAAGAATGTCCGAAAATTGAAACGCTCTCAGTGTCAGTTTTAATGTCATTTTTATAACGTTATTTTAGTTACATCATGTTCATATTTCTTTATGTTTAATTTCTTTATCTCAACAAATATGCTGAATATTTGAATTAAACTTCATACAAGGTTTTTTCTATACTTCAGTCAATCATAATCCATTAAAAATAAATTTTGGTAATTTTTACCTTAAGCGCCTTTTTCGCATGGGACGGCTCATATGTATACTAAGTCTATACTTAAAGCTGCGTATAATATGCACACCATAAAAGTTTGTACATTTTCCATCTGCCATGCAAAATGCACACACACCAACTGATTGCCAAATTGAACAAAATCATTTTAAAGAAATATCGGAAATAGCTAAAGATAGTTAAGAAATTGGAAATATACATGTAGTAATTAGTGGAGGGGCACCTTATTGTCGCTGGACTCTGACATCGTAACCTCGAAAAATCATTTGCAAATAAAAATCATTTTGCTGCACCGCATTTTTAAATATGTTTTTAATGATACTTTATCTCACTGTAAGTTTTTTAAATTATAATTAAAATGGCTCAATGATTAAAATTAAATTATCTGAAAAGAAAACAAGATAAACGTCTGAGTAAAATGCCCTGTAAGATTATAAAGAATAAGTCTTACGTAGGAGAAATGCCTCACACATCTGCCTAAACAATACGCATATCAGTTGACTAAAGAGTGATTATTTCCCACTACCAAAAGCATTGACTTGTGAATTCATGTTTTTACGACTTACAAAGTTATTATCACAGTCAGCTGCGCTCAGCAAGTTACCCATATCCTTAGTTAATACACAGTTTTGTATAGAATCATTCCTTGTGCAGGCCTATTCCATTATGTGAGAGAAAGATAAACTACCCTCGATCAGTTCTTTTCAAAAAATAGATAGTGTTCTCGCGTTGAAATGAAGAAAATAGTAGTTAATTGGATGAGGTTGTTAGACATATGTCAAATATTTTTTTTTATAAAAATACATGCAATTGTTACAATGGTGAACCTAATAGTCTGCGTGTTTTTCAGCTTCCAGAAGTAATTATTTCAAATCTATTTAAAAAAAAAAAATAATAAATAAATAAATAAAATATAAAGCAATGAACTGTTTCTGTGGTTATGTTGATTGATTGCAGAGCTGTCAGTGACCAGTCTTTGAAAGTTCAGCCATACTTCTGCGGAAAAAATGTGGTTTTCCCACGACTTCCGTTATTTTTTTTAAAGAAAATACGAAAAGGAACATGTGTCATAAGTCTTCATAATGAGGTGATATTCTAATCTATTTATCACGGAAATGTCGGTGTTTCACAGCACTTTTGTTGATGTTAATTAATCTATTTCAATGGGTTCATAAGTGAAACGCTTTTCATTATTCTGTATGATTTAGACTGGAAAAGGAGGAGTTAATTATTCAATGTGTTGCCCGATCATGGTGCATGAAACTCTGTGCAATCAGCACATAGGATGTCCTATTTATAAGAAAACATTGAAATATTTATATGTCGCACACACAATAAAGCTTACAATTTACTTACACTGTCCAAAATATGCTCACTATCTAGCAATTTACTCTGCATTCAAGGTCTTTCTTGAAATTAGTGATGAAATATTTATAGATGCCAATCAAAAATGATGGAAATTACTGTTTTTTCGGGTGGAATTTCCAGATGGATACCAAAATACGAAAAATATTTTTTAAAGAGATACAAGTCCTCTACATTGCATCTTAGTAATGCTGCAAAACCCGGTGCATAGTAATGAAACAAAATACAATACATAATATATACATTTGTG